AATAGTGCAGAAAAGGCAGAAATGTTCAATAAATATTTCTGTGCTGTATTGGGAAGTGTCAGATGACATATTTAGATAACATGATGATTAAATACTTTCCATTCCAAGAGTAACTAAGAAAGATGTTAAACAGCATCTACTCAAGACAGGCATTTTAAAATCACCAGGTTCAAATAACTTGTACCCAAAAGATGTAAAAGATCTAACCAAGGAACTCTCTTGACTAATATTGTTTTTCAGTGAGTCTTGGAACATTTCCAGTGGAGTGGAAGAAAGCTAATATTGTGGCAGTATTTAAAAAGTGTAAACAGAATGACCCAGTTAATTATAGGCTTATTGGCCTGACATAAATCCTGGGCAAAATATATCTAGGAATACAGGCATGGCTGTCCTTAGGCATTGTGGAGCCCTATCCAGCACTATTATACTGGTGTCCCTATGCCCAATGGCAGCTGTGTATGTGTGATTTTTTTGAGATGTGATTTTATAATCTTCAGCATAGGGATGTAAATGAGTAGTCGAGTATATGATTAACTGATAAGCCTGGGCTTTACAGTTAATCTTCTCGACTACTTGCATCCTCCCGCCCCCACCTTGCTGACTCTATATCAGTTGCAGCAAAGGTGGGGAATGCAGGAGCCGGTGCTAGGGGGAGTCGGCTTAAAAGCCAGTTCCCCCCAGCACCAGTTCTGTGGTGCTGTCTGCCCGCCCCTGCGTGGCGGATGGGGAGAGGAGCCTGCCACAAAGTAGCTTCTGCCCTCAGTGGGCCCAGAGAAGATTACTGGAGACCAGAGCACAGTTTTTGAGTACTGGATATACAGAACAGAAACTTGACAGTAGAAGGCTTTACAATCTGGCTGAGAAAGATATACCAAGAGCCAGCGGCTGGAAGTTGAAGCTAGACACAGTCAGATTAGAAATTAAATAATTTTTAGCCTTGAGGGCAAATAACCATTGGAACCACTTAGCAATGCTTGTGGTGGATTCTCCATCACTGGAAATTTTTAAATCAAGATTGGATTTTAAAAAAATGCTCTAGTTCAAAAAGAACTAACCCTCAGGGGAAGTCCTATGGCCTGCATTGTACAGGAGGCCAGACTAAGATGATTATAGTGGTCTGAGCCAGCTTTATAATCTATTAATTGTTTGTGAGGTGCTTAGTTACTGTGGCAATGAGGGCACTATAGGAAGCCAACAGTCAGGAGTGCCTTGGATTTTGAGCCAGTGAAGCTGCATGGGGTACCTGCTTGTGGGTCAAATCATTGCTCCTCTCTGAGTCTTCACTCTCCTGTGCAGAGTCGAAATGGAGCTTGGCTCCATGATGCACAGAGGAGTGGGTCAAGACCCCCGGGTTCAGATGGTGTGGGGACAGTTTTGTTGTTGCCCTCAAACAGAACAGTATTTCTGTCCGGACACATCACATAAAATGTGTGGGGACAGCAGGGGGGCAGCAAAATACCCTGTAGGGGAACTCCAGATTCCCTCCCCCACCTTGCTTCCCAGTGAACCAAAGTCCTCTGCACTGGGAGAGGAACATGGACAAAAATGCTGTAGCAGTCACTCGGAGGCATTTTCAAGTGGACTTTTCCATGCCATGGTTAGGCCATAGCTGCTTTTGATACATAAAAAGTGTTGCTCTATTTCCCAAACAGGGCTCAGCTTTGGACCCTTTCCAGTTCCACAAGGAGGGTTAGTCATCTTTCAGCTGGCAAAGCATGCAGAGAGGGCTGGAGCTTGCTAAGCTGAACACATGGCTCCTTGCGCCTTCCTCAAAGAAATGAGTGGGATTTTGAAAGACAGCCATTCATGTTAAAACTATCAAGACTTGGCTGTGAAACGCACCTGCTCCTATGGAGAAAATGGCAGAAAATCTTGTTTCTTCACAACACTCCATAATTCCTTTGGGATGTATGCAGTGGCCAAATATGAGCCTAATAGTGCACACGGCCCCATAACGTGTAGCACTTATATAGCACTATCCCGTGTACAATCACTATCTAATGTATGTTCATAATACCTCTGTGAGGCAGATCAGTAGTGCTCTCCCCATTTCACATACAGCCAGGAAACTGGCAGGTAGAGAGAAAGCCAGTTCTCATGGCCAAGACTACACAGTGACTCTGGCTTGCCAAGAGAACAGGATTGGGAAGCATAGTTCCAGACTTCCACCTCCGGATCACACCGTCTCCCAGCAAGGGACGGGCAAACTGATTCAGATATAAAAAAACATTCACTTGACATGCAAATCAAACCTTAGGTTGTATAATGGAGAGAGCTTGTGTGGGCCTGGGGTAGGGGATGGTTCAGGGAGTCGAGACTGAAGCAGGAGTCAGGCAAGATGGGTTTCTTTCCTGGTTCTACCAGTGACCTGCCATGTGAGTTTACGTAAGTCATTTCAGCCCCATGGTCTTCAACCTTTTTAAGCACAGTCCAGGATCTACCTTAAACCCAAATACTCCTGCTCTGCCCCTTTTCCAAGGCCCTGCCCCTACCCTACCCCTTTGCCGAGGCCCAGCCCTCCTTACTCTGTGAAGATGGAGTACAGGAGAGCGGGACAGATGTGACATCAGTGCCCCTGCCTCTGTCTCCCCGACCCTGCACAACAAGCAGGAGCTGCTCTGAGGCTCTGGGTAAGAGCAGCAGGGCAGTGTGGTGAGGGGCAGCTGAAGTGCAGACACTTGATAGCCTCCCTGCCAAACCAGTCAGGATCACCTGTCAGAGGCTCCAAGATCTGCTGGTAGATCCTGTTCTACTGGTTGGTGACCACTGTTTCAGCCTTCTGTGGTTGTGTATCCCCTCCTGCCCTGGTCTGTTTAGATTGAAGACACTAACTCTTGCACATGGGCATAAATATCTACTTTTTTGATAATCTGACCCTTATTATATATTACAGGTTGAACCTCCCTAGTCCAGCAGCCTTGGGACCTGACTGGTGCTGAACCAGAGAATTTGCCAAACCTCGGGAGGTCAATATTGTCCAGCACTATTACCAACACTTCCATTGTTCACTGGACTATTTGAAGACATTTAAGGGTAAATTAGAGCTAAATAACAGCATAAAACACTGAGGCTGCGTCTACACTGGCAAGTTTTTCCGCAAAAGCAGCTGCTTTTGTGGAAAAACTTGCCAGCTGTCTACACTGGCCGCTTGAATTTCCGCAAGAACACAGATGATCTCATGTAAGATTGTCAGTGTTCTTGCGGAAATACTATGCTGCTCCCATTCGGGCAAAAGCCCTCTTGCGCAAATGCTTTTGCGCATGAGGGCCAGTGAAGACAACGCGGTATTGTTTAGCGCAAAAAAGCCCCGATCGCGAAAATGACAATCGGGGCTTTCTTGCGCAAAACCGCATCTAGATTGGCACGGACGCTTTTCCGCAAAAAGTGCTTTTTTCCGTTAAAAGCATTTGCGAAAAATCATGCCAGTCTAGATGTAGCCTGAGAGTCAGGACTGGCAGCTGTAAACAAAGTTTATAGGATCATGGGAAACTTGGCCACATCCATTATAAGTGGACATCTGGCTCACTAAAATCATGCTGGATGTTGCTGGACCAGAGAGTACCAGGTTAAAGAGGTACAAATCTTATCAGTTAAGCCTAGTTTTCACTGATAAAACTAATTTTCACTAAAAATTCATATGTTTGATATGACTATCCATCATGATCCCATAGCTGAAGGGAAAATAGATGGTTTGGACCATATTGGGGTTCTCTGGAAGCTCAGTAAGATGTTGTAGAAAATGTTATCACAGGCTTGTCTTAAAGGCTGCCTTTTGGCGATCAACCGACATATATTATATTTACCTTGTATAAATACATTGGGATTTATCAGCATCAGGTTAGAATGGAAAGCAGTCATTATATAATGATGATGGAGGGAGGTGGCTATGGATGGATATACTAACTCACCACCTATAGGTAAGAACTGATCAGGACGTACAGAGGCCTGGACCAGGGTAGAATCACAGGCTGGTAAATATGACAAAATCTTATTAAATAAGATTTCCATGTGTTCTTGCCAGTCTCAAACTGTAGTTACAGTCTGGCCATCCCCCACTTCTCAGCAGCAGCGTCTGTGTGAAGCATTGCTGGGTGCTTCTTCCCCGCATGTACTCAGCTTAGATCCGTTTGCCCCCAAGCATGCAGCTCTTTGATGCAGCTCCACAGTTAGGAAAAGGGCAAAGTGAGCACCGACCCTGACCAAGTCAAAAGAAAAAGTACTGAGCCAAAGGGCAGCTGCCTTGTGCTGTCAGAATTTGTTCTGCACCACTTAAGTCAATGTGGCATGGGGGGAGGGGTCGTCACAGATGTTGGTGACAGTTGGGTCCGACCATTAATGAACTGTTGTATGATCTGATCAGGCTGCAGCCCGCCTGCTTAAGGCTACTGATCAAATACCATCCACCACATTGATTTCCCATTTAGTGTTTACAGTAGGCTTCCCAGAGGTCTTCGCCCCTTGAATTAGCTCATCCCCACACGGTTAATTCTCTCTGATGCGCTCTCTAGCTGATCTTCCCCTGTCTACTCCCATTGTTTTCTCTTATTTCTGTCTTCTCTAACCTGGTGCTTCTGACCCTAATCATGTTGTGCCTGATCCTGCCAGGTGCTGAGGCCCAGCTCCACAAAGGTGTTTAGGCCCTGACTCCCATTGATTTCATGGGGAGCCAGGCACCTTCCCGCCTCAGCTCTCACTGAGATCTCTGGGAGTTGAGGCATTCAGCACCTTGCAGTGGTGACCTGAACCTTGCAGGATTGGACCATTTTGTGGCAATCTCTGGAGGTTCTGCTTCCTTCCCTGAGCAGCCTCCTCTGTTTCCATCTGCTCTCAGCAACTGCATCCCAGGTTTCTGGCTGGGGCATTCGTCTGTCGGGCCTGAAGCTGCTCTGCCCCTGCCATTATGCAGGGCTCACGCTAAAGTCCGCAGACATGGCTGCTAAGCCTCTCCTCTTCCTGGGTAGGTTTAGCATTTACAGGTTCCTTTGTCTCTGTCTCCCAAGTGCAGCAATACTGAGGGGAAGCTTTCCAGGGCCACGTCACCACCTGGATGACACCTAACCCAGGTGAGTCACCAGCACCCCTGAATGCCAAGAAATCAAAGTAACCAACCAAAAGCTGTGAAGAAAGACAGCCAGGAACAAGTCGACCTGCATCGGGATCTTTTAACCAAGCAGGAAACTATAGGTAAATATTGCCCTCACTAATACCCAGGAAACACCAGGGAGTGCAGAGATTGCACATGGCTAACTGAAGGCACTTGTATGGCTTACTGGGATATTAGAAGACATTTAGGGGTAAATGAGTGCTGACCTCCTGCTGTCCAAGCGGAGAGCTGGAATGTGGAGGATCCCATACACAAAAGTACCAGCCTTCCACAACATAACTGCACTGGTGCATTTCCTGGTGAATAAAAGCACGCTGCTTTACCTGCTTCCCTGCTGTCATGAGGTATTCAGGAGTCTCTCTACCTGGCGCAGGAGAATCACAGTGAGAGCCATAAGCCTGAACACCAAACCACAGCTGGTAGATGTAATTGTAAGTCCCTCTGACCTATGTTTCCCTCTAAATCAGGGATGGGGAACCTTGTGTGGGTCAGAGGCCACTGACCCACAGAAAAATCAGGCAGAAAGGCACTCCCCACATTCCCCTTGCACCCCAGAGCCTAGGTGGGCCCAGGCTAGTAGATTTTGTGTGCTCCAGCCCTGCTGAGGGAGAGGGGGCTGGAGTGCCACCGTGGGCTTCCCAATGCTGGGGGAGAGGGAGCCCTGAGCTTCAGAGGCCGGATGCAGGCATCTGGCCCCTGGGCTTTGGGTTACCTACCTAAGGTAGGTTCCCTACTCCTGCTCTAAATAGCTAAGGCTCTAGATAAAACCTCACTTAGGGTTGCCAGATGGTTTCAACAAAAATACTGGACACACTTGACATTACATCACAATCTACATTACATCTTATTTAGAAAATACTGGACATTTATATTTTCTCCTTTATATTTTCCCAATTTTTTTCCCAAACAAAAAGTTCAAATACTGGACTGTCCAGTTCAAAACCGGACACCTGGCAACCCTAACCCCACTTCAAACACAGTAGAGTATGTGTATTAACCAAGGACACTGATGGTAAAAACTTGGCCCAATTGAAGTGAATGGAAGTTTAGCTATTGACTTCAATGGAGGCAGGATTTCACTTCCCCACATTCATTCCTATTCTATTCCAAATAATAGAGAGAGAAAGTTTCTGTATTACAATCATAAAAGTCAGTGGCTTCCTCAATTTAAAGCCCATAGAGGCTATATCTAAACTACATTCCTCTTTCAAAAGACGGATGTAAATTAGGCAGATCAAAAGTGCAAATTAAGCAGGGATTTAAATATCCTGTGATTCATTTGCATAATTGCCTCATAATGTTCTTTCGAAAAAGAGTATTTTGAAAGTGAAAAATCGCCATCTAGACGCGGTTCTTTAAAAAAAAAACCCTTTTTCGAAAGATCCGGTACTACTCATTTTTTGAGGAATACAGGATCTTTCAAAAAAGGAGGGTTTTTTTAATCGAAAGAACCATGTCTAGATGACGGTTTCACTTTCAAACTACTCTTTTTCGAAAGAACGCTGTGATGCAATTATGCAAATGAAGTGTGGGATATTTAAATCTCTACTTCATTTGCACTTTTGATCTGCCTAATTTACATCCCTCTTTCGAAAGAGGGATGTAGTTTAGACATGCCCAGAGATTTATAAACTTTTGACCAAATCCATTATTAGTAAAGAGATTGTATTTAGATCTGCATTCTTTTTACTACAGTAAAATATGAACATAGAAAGTATTTTAGTTTTTAATTTTGTGAATGAATTTGGTTTTCTTCATGTGACTTTGCTGTTCCTCTCCTCTCCTTCTCTTGTTCCTGGTTTAATTATTTCATGGCTTATTGGCCCCTAATAGTCTGTAGATCTTTCACAGATTGTAAAAGAACAATTACCAGACACTAGTGGTAACTGTATTGTAATTTGTTTTCTTCTTTTTGTAGTGAAATATATATTCAAATGGTCAACGCCTTTGCTGATGTAAATAACTTACATGGAATTACACCTATTGATGCCAGTATACAATTTGGCCCGAATGTACCAAAAAAGAAAAAAAAAAGAGAGAGCGAGAAAGGAGGGAAAACAAATCCTCTGAGAAATTCTGAGGGTGAGGTCTCAGGGTTGAGAATTCTCCTGTTTTGTGTGTGTGTGTCTGTTAATTTAACTCATAGAGAGAGTCAGTCTATATTAGTCTGTCCATTCCCAGTTTTGCTGGTTTTGATAGTCTAAAACCCCCAATCTTTTTTTTTTTTTTTTTTGCATTCTGATGAGTGTTGATGGGAGATTTCAGATTGGAATGGCTTGATCCAAACCTTCCCAATGATTCTAGTTTGGATTGGAACCAAAAGTAGATGGGGTATATTTTCAGGTTTAGGTACCACCCTCTAAATGATACAGCAAAAGCCATTTTCACAACTTTTTGGGCTAGGATTGCTAAAATAGTACAATAACAGATGCTGTTGGGTGACTGCTTTCATTTTTTGGATTAAAATCTCACATAAACTGCTTTCCACAGAGTCCCCAGAAGGGATCCTTGCAACATCTAATCCAGGGGTGGGGAACCTCATGTGGCCCCTGGCTTGCCTGGATCCAGCCCTGAGGGCCCAGGGCCCACCCCAGCATTGGGGAGCCCGCACTGGCACTCTAGCCCTCCCTCCTCCCGCACACAAAATCTACCAGGCTGCCCCCTGCCCCCGAGGTTCCAGCGTGTGAGGGAATGTGAGGAGTGTCTTTTTCATTCTCAGTCGGGGGCCACATCAGCGGCCCTCGACCTAAAAAAGGTTCCCCTCCTCCCCCAATCTAATCCAACCTCCTGTCTCTGACAGGGCTTAGCACAAGGCCTGCAGGCTAGACACGGTTCACCAGGGTTAGCTGCATCATGCCTAAGGGCTGTTTCTTGCCTATCCTGCCTTAGCATCTCACCCCGTGATTCCCACACTGAGCCCAATAATTTGCGTTTGACTAAAGCATTTCATCCAGAAAGGCAGCCTGCCTTGACTGAGATTTCACAAGACGGAGACTCCACTACTGCCTTTGGTAACTTGTTCCAGTGATTAGTCACCCTCACTGTTAAAAATCAGTGTCTAATTTGAATTTGAATTTATCTGGTTTCCACTTCCAGCCATTGGTTCTTGTTCTTCCTTTCTCCTATAGACTGAAGAGCTCTTTGTATCCAGTATTTTCTCCCTGTGAGAAATTATAACTAAGTCACCTCTTCACTCTTTTTTTTTATGAATAGATTGAACTCTTTACTGTTCCACAATAAGGGACTTTCTCCACCCCAGGAATCATTTTTGCATTCTCTCCAATTTTAACATCCTTTTAAAAAATGTGACCACTCAAATTCCATGCAGTATTCTAGAATGGGTCCCATCAATGCCACGTAGAGAGGATACATTCACTTCCTTATTCCTCCAGCTATACATTCAACGATTCTGTTTGCCCTTTTGGTCACAGAATCACACTGGGTGCTCAAGTCCAATTGCTTATTCACTATCACCACAGAAGTGTCTGTTTCCACGATACATGCCTCTGTTCAGTTGATATGTGTTATCCTCACAAAATTCTCTGTTAACTCCCACACTCTAGGAGCACACGCCTTTACCCAGTTTCTAGGGCTCAAGGTGTAACCTGTTAATTTAAATCCCCACCCTTCCCCAATTTCTAGAGCTCAGGGCGTAACTTCCTGTAGGTTTGTAGGACTTTTTACCAGTGAAAGAGCCTTCCACAGTAATGTCCTTACACTCTATTTATTAACAATTACCAAGCAAGCAGAATATACATGCTCAGCCTACAATGCCATGTACACCATTCCTAATCAAGTAGATGAACTTCCCTTGTTGGACAGGCAAGGTCAGTCTCAACTGGATTCTGGTTGCTGCACATCATGGTCATGCAGAGGATTCTTAGCAGCTCTGATCTTAGGCTGTGTCATGGAGGTGAGTTCTTCTTCCAGGTCTTTCCTTCTTATTCCTCCGTTCCTTCCTTTCATCTCCCACTGGTCTCCTTCTTGGACCCCAGTGTATATAGAGAAACCTGAGTCCTGCTTAGCTATACCATAACCAATCATTTTACTAAAACGTTACTAACCAGTCCTAATATACTATAACAAAATTCCCTAATCAGTTATATTCCACCATCTTAACTCATTTACACCTAGCAAAATTAATTATAAAGCAGACAGAAACAATTAAAATCAGACTGAGATCATACAGACAGCAACAGGGAAGTGGGGACCAAAATTGGTCATCTGAAGAAATGGGCTGTGCCCACGAAAGCTCATGTTACCTGTTTTGTTAGTCTAGAAAGTGCTACCCAGAATATTTGTTGTTTTTTAAGTTTTTCCTATTAAGAAGTAGTGTCTTGCCGGACAAAATGCTATCAAACTAACTTTTCTTTAACCATCCTGAGATCGGTTTCTTTAGCTAGTGATAGTGGGTGCCATTAGGACAGGGTCTCCTTTTTAACAGCCTGATGTTACACTATTTTAATGTGATTTAGATGTAGGGTTGCTAGGTGTCCAGTATTGACCCAGATAGTCCGGTATTTTCGCCTCCTGTCCAGTAAAAAAAATCAGAAAATACCGGACACCTGAAATGTCCGGTATTTTCTGATTTTTTCCTTGCCAGGAGGTGAAAATACTGGACACCTGGCAACCCTACACACATTCAACAACTGAGCCCAGCCCCTGGGCCCCCCAGATCTCCCACCGGGCCCCCTCACCCCCCACTTACCTGGTTCCACAGGGGAGCAATCTTGTGACTGGAGCAGAAAAACAAGATGGCTGCCGGCAAAAACCTCTTCTTAAAGGGGCCATGCTGGGGTTTTTAATTTTTATTTTGCTTAATAACTGCTGTCAGCTAATGGCTGCTGCTCTTTCAGTCTGGCTGCAGATAAAGGCCTTAGGCTGTAGGCCTTTCAGTATGGCTATAGGCCTTCCAATATGGCTACAGAAAAAGGCATTACCCTTACATATGGTCATCAGTCTTTGTTCTTAGATGCCTTGCATTTGGGTGTATTCAAATGCATTTGGTTAGAACAGGCCCATTTTAACCAAACTCTGTCCTCAATATTACCTACCATTCTGTCATTTTTTGTATCATCTTCAAATTTTATCAGCAGGGATTTTATATTTACTTTCTGATCATTGAAAAAAGTAAATAGCATCAAGTCTGGAATGGATCCTTGTAGTACTCTACTAGCAACATCCCCCTTTGATGATGGTTCCCATTGACAACTACTTTTTGAAGTCTGTCAGTTAGCCAACTCCTTAATCCATTGAATGTGTGCTATATGTTGTATGATGCTAATTTTCATGAGAATGTCACATAGTAATAAGTCAAATGCCCACATCTACAAAGTTACATTTATAACCTCATAACAATTAAATCAGATTTGTTTGACAGTATCTACATTTTAATAAAACCATGTTCAATGGCATGAATTATAGTCCCATCCTTTTATATTTTATTAATGGAATCCTGTATCAACTTTACCATCGTTTTGCCTGCTATTGGTGTCAGACTAAGTGGCCAATAACTATCTATGTCAACGCACCAACTCTTTCTGAATATTGGCACAATACTTTTCCAGTCCTCTGGAATTTTTCTGGTATTCCTAGGTTTATTAAACATTAACATCTGTGAGCTACAGATCTCCTTAGCCAACTCTTTAAGGACTGTTGGGCATAAATTATCCAGGCCCATGATTTAAATGTGCATTCCTAGTAGATGCTGTTTAACAGACTTCTTAGTTACTAATGGATTGGAAAGTACTTCCATCATTTGATACAAGTACAAATCTGCTTGTATCTTAGTCTGCTTCTTCCCTAACACAGAACAAAGACATTTATTGCATACTTTTATATTTTGTCCATCATTCACATTTTTACCATCTCCATCTAGTAATGCTTCTGTGATGCTAGTGTTCTTGAAACAAATCCCAGCTCAAGTGTAATCTTGTTCCCAATGCCAGCTTATTTTCCTCTCTCTGCATAAAATACTTGAGACCTAATTAGGGCCTGATCTTCCAAGACAGCAGCAATGTGAAATTCCCAGTGAAATCACAAAGGACATGCAGTATTGGACTCCGCTCCTAATGAGATTTTTGGCATCTTTGTTATTCAACATAAAAATGACTTACATAATGAACTGGGCAAGTGGTTACTACCTCACATGATCCTCCTGAAATTGTTAAAAAGTAGCTTACAGAGGATGCATACCCTTTTTTTTTCTTAGAAAAAAAAAACAGCACTGAAAACTCCCAAAGGTTTTTATAAGGGAATGTCTTTATTTATATCTGTATAAATCCATGCATTCCAAGCACCCATGACATTAGACAGAAATTCAACCAAATTAATGCCTGATTAAATGCCTAAACTATGTGACTCCAAAGGGCACCATAATTTTAATGGAAAACTTTTATGGACATGATACAAGACCATAAAAGTGCACAAGTAGGTAATGGCTTGATAAACTTAAATCAGAGATAATCTAATCTAATGAGCAAATCACACAGCCCTGATGTTGCAAATGGACCCCTGAGGGTGCAAATTTCTACACCCAAGGATTGGACTGTTGTATCTGGACCTTCTTAAGCTCTTTTTTTATCACTGTAAGCTCTCTGACTATCATTTAAGTGTATATTTGTTTACATCTATGGCAGATATTGCTGCTTGGTTATTGATAATGTCTCTTGAAAGTGAGAACAGGCATTTGCCTGGCACTTTTGTTGCTGGCATTGCAAGGTAACAGCCCTGATATGTTTGACCACCATTCCAGAGGACATGTTTCCAGGATGATGATGTTTTTTGTTACTGGCATTGCAAGGTAACAGCCCTGAAATGTTTGACCACCATTCCAGAGGACATGTTTCCAGGATGATGATGTTCATTAAAAATAATGTGTTAATTCAATTTGTGATCAGACTCCTTAGGGGAGAACTGTAGAGGGTTGCAACCCACAGAAATTTCATTTATGGACAAAATGGGAAAAATTTACGGACAGACAAATTTTTTTACGGACATAATTTTTATACTATATTAAGATGACATAAATGGCCAAAAGTGAAAACTAATCATTGGCATTCATACATCCCAAGAACAATCTG